GAGAGAGTTACTCATTAAAACTACCTAAGTCGAAACTTTTTCTTTTTATCCCTAAAAGAGCCCGCTGGAGGATTGCTTTGCTTTCTAACATCTCTTTCTGTTATCAAAATGCTCTTTAGCACTAGGCGTCTAGTAAGCGATAGCTATCGCTTACCTAGACAAAGGCCGAAGCACCACAGACACACTTCAAGCACAAACTCGTATTTGTAAATAAATCTAGTTAGAACGGCCTCGGCCAAAGTCTTACATAGCCTCGAGCTCACTAGACTCTAATGGAACAATAATAGGGGAGAGAAGGAGATTTGAAAGGTATCGTCCAGGGTTGTCTGGTAATCAGCTTGTTCTATTGGAGGTTACCCCGTGTTGGACTGAATAGCATGTGAAGATGCCGATTGTGGGGAGGCCACATGCTGTTTTAGAACAGTTGGAGCGAAAAGAGTAACGCAAACCCCCACGGAGACCATGGTGATAGTCAGCGCTTAAGTGTGACTCCTAGCCCGTAGAGCCAGCAGCTGAGGCGGAGCAAAGCACATGTATGCTTGTTATGGAACACTCTTTGTATGATTAAGATTTGGTTGTTGTCATAGGCCGTACTGTTGGCTTGCGCATAAATGTTATAGCTGTGCAAGTTTGGCTTGGCGATCTTGACAAGAGATGAAGATACGCATTAGCAGTGACGGGCTGTCAAGTTGGACCAATTCTTGGCGATCTGCCATCTGTGTGGAAATACCAGGACAAATCTTGTTGCTGCATCAGCAAGATGAATGAACATGTCAGCATCTTCCCGTACGCACCTTCTGTGTAGCCCCATTTCCGCAAGCGCTTTTCAACCTTCTTCTTAGTAGAGTTTCTGGCGCTGTCCCTGTCGTTTCCTTGATTAAGCAGGGCATCGTATTCAGTATGTCTATGACGAATGTGCGCAGCAACAGCAAGCAGCACCTTGCGCGAGAGCGGGATCGAGTTTGTTCGGCCTACTCTGCCAGAGTGTTTCTTGAAGCCGTGTCTAAGCACGGCTTCTTTTTCGTTGCTAGGCATTTGTGGGAACTGCTTCTCTACTTCGGCAGTCGCCCTAGCAATGTCAGCAGCATCGCGCTTGTCAGTCGCAGCGCGACGCGTTGAAAGCGTCTGCTTGGCCTGCCTGTGAAGTTTGTGCAGGATTGCCAAGGGTGCACGTAGTCCAATCTGTTTTTTGTCTTTGAAGACAATGTACAGAGGACGAGCTGCCTCGTGAGTGAGCTTGCGACAATGCAGCGTCTTGTAGCGGTCTCCCTTTGGGAGGAAACCATAGGCCTTTGGCATTGGTGTGCTCGCAGCAACTGCAATCTCGGGACGCATGTTTGGTGGCGAGTCAAGTGCTCGCATGGGGGAGGTGTTTTGTTCAAGGCAGGTGGCTGGAACAGATGATCCTTTAAGGGGATGGCAGGCGGTTCGCTCTAGACTCCAGGTTCTTCGACAGGGGCAGCCGCATATCAGTGGGCCCCTTTGTGGCAGGCTGCATGTCGGGCACCAAGGCGTGGGCGGACAAGGGGAGGATGGATGGAAGCATTTGTCGCTGCGTGGTCGTGTCGAGATGCGTTGCACACACACACACACACAGGAGCCTTATTGGCGCTAGCGAGCGCTAGTCCCGAGCCGGACGCTCACGTGACAGCATACCGCCCGAGTCACTTCAGAAACAGTGTCGGACCGCTCCTTGGCCCGCGCCCCATCTTCACCTCGACCTTGTCGCTGAGCAGCATGTCTCCTGTTACGGGGCATCTTCTGCGCTCACAACCTCATCACCTTCACGCCCGTCACTACACGCTCACGCTGCACACTTCATCCATCCATCCATCCATCCATCCGCATCGCATAGCTGCACTAGCCGCCCCCGGGGCCACGGATCAGGCGGAAGCCCCGAATCTATACTTGGCACACGCCGCGGAAACGCTGCCGACCCCGCACTAGCCACGCCCGGCGTGCCAGTGCTGACGACGCCTCAGCGCTGTCCTTACATTATAAAATCTTCAGCCACATATCCGGGCCCTGCCATCTGCATACCCCACGTGCGTCCTTGTTTGCAGATGGTTTCTAGCCTCTTCGGCCATGCAGATCAAACCGCTGAAGCGGTCCGACACGACTTTCAGTGAGGACTTGGACTATACGCACACAACATACAATGACAAGTTTGTTGTCGTGTACGACTTCAGCAGCGTTGGTATGTCCATGACACCTTTCCAGCCGCACCACTTGCTCACAGCAGCCAGACGAACATGTCGCCATCCAAGAATGCGAGCAGCTGCTGCATGATCTCGAGTCAGCTGGCCTGAATACCGAAGTGCGGCCTGGCTATGATCTCTCTTTGTTGGTCTTCGTTCAGGTACCAAGGGATTTGCTTGGCAACACAGTCTACAAGTCGAGGTACGCCGTATTTACCCACAGCTTTCGCCCGCGTCCCTCGTCGACTGACATTTGAAACAGAGTCAAGGATTGGCTCTACGGCATCACCAAGAATCATCCCGGCGGCACTGCCAAAAGCATCGTCTCGGGGGCTTTCGAAGCAGAAGATATTCTCTCTGTCTATCACCTGGTCCACTGGCGCAAAGAGCTTGGAGGCGCAGGCATCACGCCAGGATTCCCGCCCTGGGAAAACGTGACCTCAATCTTTCCGCTGCACAACCAGGCCGCGAATCGGGCTCTGCTGGCTCAGCTCAGTACCAAAGTCTTTTTGGACGTGGAAGACCTCGACCAGATCCGTAACCTCTGGGGATCCAAAGTCGCTTTCTATTTTGCTTTTATCCAAACCTACTTTCGCTCTCTTGCCATTCCATGCGCAGCTGGAATCTTTGCGCGGTTTTTCCTTCCACAATATTCGCTGCGTTTCGCATTGGTAATCGGCGTTTGGTGCACGGTATTCCTGGAGTACTGGAAGATCAAACAGGCAGATCTTGCTATCCGCTGGGATGTGCGCGGCGTGGGTAGCCTAAAAGTCGATCGTCCACAGTTTCGCTACGAGAAAGAGATTATCGATTCAGCTGGACGAGTGATGCGCATCTTCCCAAGATGGAAGCGGATTGTGCGACAGCTGGTTGTCGTTCCCTTTGTTATTGTTAGCACGCTGGTTCTCGGGGCTCTCATCACTATTGTCTTCGGTATCGAGACATTCACCGGAGAGGCCTACGATGGACCATATAAGTTTTTCCTAGTGAGTACAGTCTTGGATGATGGGGTTACAATTCATTGTTTAACAACCCCTAGGAATACCTCCCGACTGTCCTTCTGGCAGTCTTTCTGCCCTATGTCACCAATTTCCTGGAGGATATTGCTACCGTTTTGACAGAGTACGAGAACCATCGCACGTCGGATCATCACGAGATGTCCCTCACCCAGAAGATTTTTGTGCTCAACTCAATTACCAACTACCTGCCTATTCTACTCACTGCGTTCGTATATGTTCCGTTTGGCAATAAGATTCTGCCGTTCTTGCAAGGTATTGTGGATGCGACACTGGGGATGCAGAACCGGGGAAAGACAGAATTCCATGCCGATCCTGACAGACTGCGCAACGAAGTCATAGCACTGACTGTGACTGGACAAGTGTCGGGTGCTATAGAAGAGCTGGCATTGCCATGGCTAAAGGACCAAGTCAAGCAGTGGTGGCGCGACCGGCAAGCTTCTCGAGCGCAGAACCGCGGTGACACGCGGGCATTGCCAGTACCAGAAGATCCTTCTGAATCCCAGTTCCTCCGCCGCACGCGAAGGCAGGCGCTTCGAGAGCGATACAACGTCCAGGAAGACATATCGGAGATGGTGATTCAGTTTGGCTACTTGGCATTATTTAGTCCAGTGTGGCCGCTGGTACCCATTGGATTTTTCATCAACAACTGGTTCGAACTTCGATCCGACTTTCTCAAAATTTCCCTGGAGTACCAAAGGCCCACACCTGAGCGTGCCGACGGTATTGGTCCTTGGGTTGCCAGCCTGGAATCGCTAACATGGCTTGGAAGTGTCAGTAGCGCAGCCATTGTCCACCTCTTTGGAACTCGACATCTCCTTGGCGAGTACTTTGGGTTAAGCACATGGGCCAGCCTTCCGCTGACGGTTCTTATTTCTGAGCACACTTTCATGGCGTTTAGAGCAGGAGTTCGATTTGCCCTCTCGCGCATAGGATCCGAGCAGATTCGAAGAGAAAGAGCCGAGCAGTACGCGGAGAGAAAGAGGTATCTCGATGAGCTTGAGGCAAAGGCAAACAAGGTGTCGCATCTTGACATAGCCGAGCGTGAAAGACGAAAGAGCGTGAGAATCAACATGGCGGATATTTTTTGGACAAGGCAGGCGGAGGTAGGAGCCAGCGCGACTGCTGGTGTCAGTATCATCAAGGCGTTGAAGAATGCAAAGGAGGAAAACACAGTCACGGGCAGGGATCTGAAAATTGATTAATGGGCAAGGTTTGAGCATTTCAAGAGGCAAAGTTTTTCGAGGTATCCTTTCAATTATGTACACTAATATCTCCAGGACCAAACAAGTATTTACAGAATAGAATAGAAGGAGGAGTTTCAAGAGCGAATCCAAAAAGAGCCGAGGTTGCTGCAAGAGTTGGCAACGTCCGTGGCATGGCCGACGGCACTTTACTTGAGAGCATTGAGAACGGTGGTGTAAGCCTGCTTGGGGTTGAAGTTGGAGTCGAAGAGGAGGGGGTTGCCGTTGGGCCTCCAGGAGTCGCTGTCGCGGACACCCCAGACGGTGATACCGACGCAGTTGGTCTGGTTGAGGCAAGCCTTGACAACGTTGGTCCAGTCGGCCTGCTGGGCGTTCTGGATGTCGACCTCGGTCATGGCGCACTCGGGAGCAGAGCTGCAGAGAAGCTTCATGGCGTCGATGGTGGCGGCGCCCTGGCCGGAGCTCAGGTGAGTCTGGGAGCCGATACCGTCAATGGCAACACCCTGGGAGATCCACTTCTTGACGTATTTGGCCATGCCCTGGGTCTTTGCGTACGAAGCAACGTCGAGGTTGTAGTCGTTGATGTACAGCTTGGCGGCCGGGTCAGCAGCCTTGGCGGCCTCGAAAGCAATGCGGACAAAGTCCTCGCCAAGGACGTTGTAGAAGACACTGGCACGGAAGCCTCCGTTCTCGGCGAACATCTCGTTGATGACGTCCCAGGCGTAGATCTGGCCCTTCCAGCGTCCCATGACGGTCTTGATGTGGTTCTGCATGACGGAGGTCAAAGTGGCCTTGTCACTGATCTGGCTGACCCACGAGGGCAGCTGAGAGTGCCAGACGGTGGTGTGGCCACGGATGAGCTGGCCGTTGTCCTTGGCAAACTTGACCGTCTGGTCGGCAGTGCCAAAGTTGAAGTTGCCGCGCGTGGGCTCGGTGGCATCCCACTTCATCGAGTTCTCGCAGGTGACCTGGCCAAAGTCGGCCTTGATGATGGCAGCGTTCTTGCCGCTGTTGAATCGGTAGGGGTCAGTGGCAGTACCAAAGTACTTCCTGCCCTTGGCCTTCATGGCGGCATTGAGGCTCTGTGCGGCCTGGCACTCAGAGAGGTGGACCTCGGGCTCGGCGAGGGGGGCGGCAGTGACCAGAGCACTGGCGGAAAGGAGGGTGATGAGGGAAAGCTTCATGGTGAAGGTAAGTAAGTAATGGACAGGAATGGAAAGGCGGGCTGGAACAGGGCTGGAGAAGGTGTAAGAAAGTGAAGGTGATGGTTGGCTGCCCTGCTAACAGCCAAGGGCCTTGGTCTTCTTATACCTGTTGCTTGCCGGCGGCCGTCTTGCACGAGTACCCGGCCTCAATCTAGCCAAGGCAATATGCGCCCCCCATACGATCCACGCGCGCTGCGCACGAGCAGGTCGCGGTGGAGAAATTCATCACCAGAAGACGCCTCGAGCAATCTAACATGACCTGCATCCGCCGCTGCAATGCGCAGCTGCGTCTCCATAGTGCGGCAACGGTGCGTTCATCATGCCGCATCGAGCATGGCGGTCGAAGCCACGGGTTTCGGATTAATTTGGCCAAAGCTTCCGACGCCGGTTCTTGTGCTGCTTATGTTGCTTGGCGCCGCTTTGCCCAGGGGAAAAATGAGCGGCTAAATGCACGCTGCAAAAACAGACGGCCGACCCCTGCCCTCGCTGCTCGAACGCCCAATTCCCATGGGCCTCATAATCTCCGTCCAGTACTGCGCTAGCGGCCTGCTGCTCTGCATCCAGAAGCTGTCATGGCTGCCGTGTCCGCCCTCGTCGCCTGCGCGCGAAGATTGCCCTCCCGTCGCCGACCCGCACTGAAACAAAGGGGACCACGGCCGCACTGCGGCTTGCAAAAATAGCGACGACCAACGAAACACCAAACATCAAACGTCAACCTTCTTGGCGCCCGCCATATATCCGGTGCCAAAGGTTGAGCGCCCAGCAACTACGCCCCGATGGGAGCCTGTTTTCTTCGAGCATTGCGGGGTGGCGTGCGGGGGTGATTCGTGGACAATACGGAGGTGCCTCACAAAAGTTTTGTCCTGCCAAGAATAATTTAGCCGAAATCTGGCCGCTCTCCTACACAACGCCTATCTCTCCCCTCTATATACTCATTACCACCTTGTAGCTCAATTATCTTTGGAATATGTATAAGAATACGCTCAATCCAAGCTTGGATCTTAGCTTGTGGGAGATCTCTCCAGCAATTTAGCCAGATTCTAGTTGCCTCCGTTCTTGTACTG